GGGAGAAATTCCTTCTTGGGCTGCACCGGTTCCAGCCGGAAAGCAGGGGTGACGGTACCGTCTGCGGTGAGGGGGGGGGGCAGCTGATCCGTACCGTAAATGAAAAACTGTGTTTTGAGACAGGAGCCTGGTCAGAAGGCTCAGAACCCTCTTGCGCAGGGGTTCCTGAACAATGCGTTGCGTGAGTAACAGCTCCGTGTTACTTGGGGAAACTTTTTTTTTTTAAATAAATCCTTTCAGTCCGTTACAGTAACAGTAAAAGCCATTGGCCTGCACTTTGTCTAGACCTTGAAACTAAATAACTGGTAAGATGAAAATCCACCCCAGCGTTCTTCTGGGATGATCTGGCTAGTACAGCACGGGATCAAATTGTTCTCGTTAAAGGGCTTTACCCTTTCAGTTTGTAATTTGAATCTCCTGCTTACTTGCATTGTCTTAACATGTTTTCATTTTGAGTAGTACTGATGCGGGCCACTGGTGCACAGGAGGAATAAATCAGTGTGGTATACTAAGAATTTGCAATAAAATCTTACATAGGATTTTGCATGCTGTTCAGACTGTGATCCTTCTTCAGTGGAGCCAGCTTTTTGTCAGCCTCTGTTGCTGCACAGCAACTGCAAACTATTGATCTGGAAGTTGGATCCAGAAGACCAGCGTGTGCCAAATGACTGAGCTGAACAGTCCAAAGCGAGCATGTGCAGCGAGACTAGAATTTTATTGTGAATAGGCTAGAGCTCAGCCAGGTCTGAACTGAATTCCACGTGTGGCAAGCTTGAGTCTTTCTTAGTCTTGCCTTCTGTTTGTTGTTACTTGCAGCTGAACGAGTGCTTTTTAGAAAAACTTTTTCAGGTGTCAGACTTAATCTGAAGGACTCATCCTAGGTCTTGTGTTGTCTTACACTTCTGTGGAGTTTAATGTTTACCTTGAAAATACTGCTAAGGAAATAGACTTTGATTTTTGTCTCTTAGCATTGGAGCTGAGCCACCTCAGGTGGAAGCGAGTTGCTGGTTCTGGGTATTCTGGCACCCAGTGAGACAGACTGGGAGAGTGGTGCAGTGTGAGAGCTGGGGAAGTGCAA